TCTTCGGCTACCGTGTACGTACTTATAAAGAGGTAGTATGGATGTAATAGCAAGATTTTTTATGTAAAATTGTGACTGCTGACACGAAGTTAATTAATGAATACTTTACTAAATATCATTCTCATTTTACCATTATAATGTATCTTAACGAATATTTTATTAGTGCGCTAAGCTAGTTGACTTTATAAAAGAAAAAATTTGAAATGATTGTTATTGAAACTGTAGAGAATTGTTTCGAGCGTTACTTTTTGCCAATGAATGCACATATGTATGCACGAAAATTTAAACGGCATGACGAATTTTTTCGCGACTAAAACTTATATCATTCTTGCGAAAATTAATGTTAACAGTAAAATGTAATAATATTTATTGGACTAAAAAGAATTCTTGAGATCATATACAAAAAATTATCACAAGCCCAACATCCAAATAGTTTAAATAATACAGGACTTAACATTCTTCATAATAAGGTCTAACAACCCCATTACTTTTACATCAATAAGTTTAACACAGGACATTCAAAAAAAAAAAACAATAATTTCAAGGTGAATAAAAGAAATAATATATCTGAATGAAGCTTGAGGACACGATTCATTTCTAAAGAGTACAATAAAGTATATCCAAATTTAATAGTAGAAAAAACTCCAAGCGCTATTATTTAAGAGCGAATAATAACGGTTATAACATAAAATTAACATTTGCAAGATCCTTGAGTACAACTGCAGTTTTCTCCGCAGTTACATTTGCTATGCATGGCAAATACCAAAGTTTATTAGTACGAGAATTACTCATAATCGAAATCGAATCAAAATTCTTTGCAATAGTCACCTGGAACCACAATCAGGGTCTGTTTCAAACATTTTGGATACTTAGTAAGCTTGATTATAACGATTTGATGTTTGGCTTATTTATTGAGCAGTATAAGAATTTGCGTTTTTTTTTACCTTTAAGAAAAATTCTTGGTGAGTGTATTTATATTAAAAATCTACCGTCGTCTGTAAATAATAATAAATTTAGATTGTTGATCATTATGTATTGGCAAAAATCCCTCATAATGAGAGGCAAAAAATTCCTCATGATAGGCAAAAAATATCACTCACAATGATAATGAAAAGAAACAAAAATCCCTCATTCAATATATTAAGTTACTTTTGATTTACATTTCTAATTATGGCTTGGTATTGCCGTTCGTATATCTAAACTTGTATAATCGAGGAAAAAACTTCCCATTCAATAATTATGTCATATGGTTATGTGAACAAAATTTTCACTTTTGAAACTAACTAGAACATACCGATCCTAATACTGTAAAATTAATTTTATTCTGTCTTACCTTATGACTTTATAATTTATTTACACACTAGTGTAATTAAATAAATGATATGAACGAATTTAACAAGTGTTGCCGATATTGCAAATATCGTGTCTAAAGGAAGTTAATAACTAGGCATACAGCATACGTACGTCGTATGGTATTATAGAAAGTTCTAGCCTTATCATATAGTTTTATAAATTGATTATTAATCGAGAGATAACGATAGATTAAACATCGGGTGACCAATGTAAATGATACAAGGACTTGCTTATTTTTGCGATAATACAAACCCAAAAAAAGGTTGAAAGTAAGCACGTACATGATACTTGGAAATTTAAGGTTAGGAAAGTTGGTTTGGGAATATGAGGACAAACTATTACCTTTATTATGTAAAATTTTATTCTCGATATTTTTGATTAGTGCACAAGGTTGATTTAAACATTAGCTTCAATTATTTTGCATTCTTTGCTTTTTTTCCTCTCGCATGTGTTCTGATTCTGTGTCACGCTGATCTGGGGATCTGGGAAAATTAAGATTTGAACTCGCCATTGGGAATTTTGTATTACTCACGAAAATAAGTGGATGAAATTTCTATTTTGTGGTTTTGGTATGTATCGATATTAATTATTATTACGATACGCAGCATAAGAAACCGGATGGTTTATTTGTAATGATCATCGCGATCTATATTTTGCGACATCAAATAATTAAGGGAAAAGGGGTGGGTAAAACAAGGATCATTAAAAAAAATTCTAAATATCAATCATTTTGGATCCAATCTCGTCCGTAAGACTTCGGTTTATTTAAGGTATTAAGTACAATATCAACAATATCAATTCAAACTAGAATCGAAATTTAAACGCAATAAACAAATTAAAAATTGTAAGAATTGCTTATTGGAAGTACCCGGTCCATTTATTTACCGTAATGTGCTGACTCAAGTACCTGGCGTGACAAATAGTGTAGATCAATATTTTAAAGGGTATTTTTAGGCTAGCTAGAGATGCCTAGAGATGCCTAGCGATAATATTTCCGACCTAATAGCCAATTAAAGTGCAAATAATTCACATGATAGCCGTTTTTGTGTAGCACAAAAGTAACACGAGGACGATCATCCCGGATCAGTCCGGCGAAACAAAAACAACAAAGAAGCGAAACAGTAAAAAAAGAAAAACGGCTACCTAAACCTATTTTGGGGCGCTAATTAAAAATGTCGGGAAGGCAATTTTCCATATAATATTTGCCTTCGCCTTAACCTTATGTGACTTAAACCTAATCAAAGTTATATGAACTGGCATAGTTTTGAGGCCAGAGATGTATAAGTTAAACATCTCTAGCTAGAGATGTCTAGAATTTCCCTATTTTTTAAATGCTATTTATGTGTGCATGTGATGTATAATATACGTGAATTTTAATTTTTCACTATTTGAAAAATTGCATCACACCGGTACTTGAGTCAGCACCTTACGGTGGATGTAATAAAAGGTTGTAAATATGTTATGAGAACAGAATTTAGATGCATTTTGGAGTCTTCTAAAATTTTCAGGTTAAGATATGGGGTCTTTGCCTTGAAAATGACCTTACGGTACATGATACCGTAAGGTCATTTTCAAGGCAAAGACCCCATATATATGTAGCATATAAGAAACTCGTAATTTTACGGGAAATCACGGGTTATAAAATTTGTGTGATTGGCTAATTGATGTAGATCCAAACGTGATTATTAGCCAATCAAATCAATTAAAAATTCTTTCGATACGCGAAATACGCGAAAAAATGAATTTATTATTAACAAGAGCAAAGTATTTTTAATACTAAAGTAATTTTATTCTATTTTTCAACCATTAGATTTTACTAAACGCGTTACATCTAACATGTTACTACTCTATAGTCTATACTAATGTAGTTAAATCACACCATCGTAGTTATTATACTACATATTAGAGACAATTTCTTTTTGTTTGATATATAATATGCATATGTGTCAAAAGTATTTATATTTCGTAGGCTGTTGAATAAATGTAAAGTTTTATGTTAGTATAACACTCACGGTTTAACAATTTATAAATCTATTGTTTGGCTTCATAATTTAAACGTAGAAGCTCAATAAACTTAGCCAATTACCAAACGCCCTACCTTTGTTCTTATGAAAACTTTCTGGGGAAAGCGATTGAAAACGATTTTCTGCTAGAAATACTCAAAACGAAGAAATTTTACTTATAAATGGGGTACTTATTATGGTTAAACGGATGGTGAAATTGCCGGTTTTTAGACTACAATCGTATATAAAATTTTCAATTGTCCATATAAATAGGCTGTGTAACAGTCATTTCGGATCTGTCAGATATGAGTTTCTTATATGCTTATTTATGTAAATTCTACTTTAAAATTCTCAATATTATTAAAAAATTCCAATTACACTTAAATTTCGATCCCACTCACGATATATACATGAGCTTTTTAATCAGTGCAGTAGACTATTCCAATAAAAGTGACTATACGCAAAATTTGATTTATTCTTTACTAAATTCTATGCACTGGATAATAAAATTTTAAAAATTATTAGCTGGAGCTGAGGGAAGTGAGGTGAAGCCTTTCAAGTCGTACACTACTGAATTTTAAGAATGTCCAGCTCCCGCTTCACGTAACCGAAATTTTAGGTTCAAATAACCAAATTAGGTTCAATGTTTGGATGCTGAATTCTGGTTTAAAATATAGTAGCTGACTTTTAATAGAATATACTAGAAAATCAGAATCTGATGTAGGTCCGAAGCGAAAAAAAATCAATTATAACTAATGCTAATTTTGTAAAAAATTTAAATTACTACGTATTATTTATATATAAGAACTTATAATCATGAATTATTTCTATAAAAGAAATTATAATAACCATGGTGAAATAAAATAAAAAAATCATATCGTAGGTATATAATTGTTACACTGACTGCAGATCATGCATGGAGATTTGGTATACTGACTGCAGATCATCACAGGAACTCTCAATTCTTGATTTTCATTGGTCGTATCCGACAAACATTGCATGAACGTGCATCAAACTTTGCATAAACAATTGAGTCCTCACTACAATTAACTGACTTTTAATAAATTATACGTAAAATATAGCAGCCGACTTTTGATAAAACATAACTGAATTTTATCATTTACACATAAAATATAGTAGTAGACTTTTAATAGAGTATATTTGTTGTGCGTCAAATTAAAATCTGTGTCAGATTAAAATCATTATAATTCCGCTAATACCTAACATAGGCACCACCCTAATACTGTAATAAAAATCCGTATTTAAATTTCGATCTGACAAATTTAAATCTGATGCACGACATATGTAGGCAAGATTGATATTTTTAAATTGAGATATTTGAAATAGGTCATGGAAGTTCGTAAGTATTTACTATCAGTAATATTCTCATTAAAAATATGAGAAACATTAATTCATCAGCATTATTTAATTTTTGTAGCACATTACAATTTGATTTTTGCGTAATTATTAAAATTGGGAGGCGAAGTCACTTCGCATGATCATGTTCTAGTTGCTTCATACTTTCAATCGAGTCGTTGATCAATTATTTTCTTTCATTGAATTACGAAGCGTGAATCACTATAAAGATTATTAAACAATGTTATTATATAGAATAATGTAATTTTTTTAAAAAAAAAATTATAATTACTCATTTGAAGTTGGTGAAGTAAAGTTATTTTCATTATTGGATTTAATATATGCTTCTATAACTTCATTATTGGATTCAATATATGCTTGTATATCTTCATTATTGGATTCAATATATGCTTGTATATCTTCATTTTTTATGCTTTGTAGTTTTCTATCAGATTCAGTTAATTCAGATAAAATATTTTCATTATTCTGCCATTCCGCAAAAATATCAACAATTTCTTTTGCAGTTGGTCGTTTTTCTGGTTCTTTGCTCCAACATTTCTTCATTAAATCCGCATAGCATATTGCTGCATTTTCGTAAATATGTGGTCGTAAATCATTAAATACTTTTAACCTAACTTGTGCAGATTGTGATATTTGATTGTAAACTACAGGTTTGCCGTATAAAATTTCCCACATGATTATACCAAACGAATAAATATCAGATTCTTTAGTATATAATTTTTTGATGAACACTTCAGGATCAATATAAGGAAGAATTCCATAAACTTCGTCAGGTACCGTTTTTGATTCAATATTCGCAGTTATTGAAAGTCCTAAGTCTGCAATATAAGCGCTTTTTAAGCTATTCAGTAGTATATTTCCGCTATGTAAATCTCGATGAATAAGGTTATGTGAATGAATTATTTGGAGGTCTGATGCAATACATTGCAACAAATTTAATTTATCTTTCCATTCTATTTCTGCTACAGAACGAAGATTTTGACGTAAGGAACCCATTGCCGCATATTCTAAAACAATAATATAATCTTCGGAATTTGGATGTTTGGATATTCCATAGCATTTTAAAAACGAAGGATTTTTAGAGCCAATATCACAATATGCCTTTAACTTTAATATTAAAAATTAGATTATTAAAAAATCATAAATTATTAGATA